CTTTGTTCTCCTGCATTTGATCTTATTGGAAACCCTGTACTGAGTTCCATGACCCTCAGGTTGGGATGGGTTTTTGTGTTGCTTCGGATTCTTTTGAATAAATATAGCTGTAATTGATTTTATAATTATAAAGTAATACATGCTTGTGATGACACTAAGACAGTGCATAAAGGAGTAAAGAAGAAAGTGAAAGTTACCCCGCTACCCCGAGAAAACTCCATCATCTTTCTAGCAAGATGGAGTTTTTTCTTTTGCTCCTTTAAAAAAAATTTTTTTACATTAAAGAGACCTTCTGTGCATGCTGGTTTCTTTTTTGAATATCCGATGTGTGTACACAGTATACAGTACAAAATGTTCAAATGGGTATATAGTGTGCAGAAAGTGCGGGGTACCTTCTGTAAGGATATCTCTGGCTCTCGTTTCCCTATGCTATTCACTTATCAGTTGATTGATTAATTTACTAATTAATTAAAAACCAGTCATTGGGTACCCACTACGTGCTAGACACCAAGGTGCAGAGGTGAATGAGATGGCAGAGCCCCTGTCCTCAGGCTCCCATACCTCACTGCTCCGTTAGCTCCGTTTATTCAAGATCTGAAACTACAAATGGTCTGGACACTAGGGAGAGATATTGTTCTCCAAAATGTGCTTCGTGTCAGGCACAGAATGCAGTGGGAGTCACTGAATTCCTGGGCAGAAGGAATCAGAGTCCTGGACAGACTTCCATCCATCCTGTCCCATAAAGGGCATTGTTCTTGGAGGCCTTGGCAATGTGGAGCTTCCTTTGACGTTTCCAAGTCACGTCCTTGTCCAGCCTGTGAGGTGCATTTGCTTGACCTATGAGCCATTATTTGCAGTCCAGGCTCTTCCCTTTGGGAAGCAGAGCCATTGCAGTTGGGCTTCAGGTTCTGCTGGCAGGAAGAAATGGGCGTGGTGCCTCTCAGTCAGCTCCCAAGGATGAGGGTGAGCAGGACCCGGGCCTGAGCCACAGTGAGGGACAACAGCCTGGTCTTTGTGATGGCTCCTCAGTGGAGCTGCTGCTCAAGGGGATGCCTCACAGTCATTTCAGGCCTGCATTTAACACTGAGTGAGCTCCTACTGTGTACCAAGAGCTCTGCTAAGCACTGCCAGTGGAGAGATGAGCAAAACACCATCCCTCCTTTCAAGGTATAATTTCTTGAGGGAGATAAATATGAGGAGAAATGATAAAATTGCACAAGTGCTGTGGGGCATAGGGACAAACCATCACAGACGAGGTGACATTTCAGCTTGATCTTGACATATGATCAGACAGGAGAGAAGGGCCATTGTAGGGGGAACAAAAGCACCAGATGTCAGTGCCCCTTCTCTGTGCTTTCTTCAGGAGGAGACGAGCACACGAGGTTGAAGGAAAGGGCTGTGAAGGAGAGTGGCTGGCACCTGGGCAGGACTGTGTCTCCGCTCCTGCTTTCCTCTTCTAAGATTTCCCCATCACCATCCTTTCTTTAGCCTAGTCCACAGAAACATGGAATTTCCATAGTCTCACCTTTTCTTCTGTCTCAGAATCTCACCTCAGGTTCTTAATTGCCCCAGACGTGAATTCATCCTGAGGTTGAGATGATCTCTAAGGTCTAAAGGGACATCCCTCTCAAGGGCATGTACATTTGAACAGCTTTCAAAATTTTAAGCTAAAGGATCCCTGCTCTCAGTGGGTCCTTAGACGTCAGACTGCAGGCAGAGGATTTGGGTGGGGAGCATGTGGGAACGGGATCTTCTCAGAACCTATGAATTACCAAACCCTCACCTTTAGATTCCAGGCTCCAGGGCCTTACATAGCGCCATTCATTGAGACCTCATGAATTCGCAGCTGTCCAGACACCTGGCCAGTCACGAGAAGTCTGCCTCATCAGCACTCAGGACTAAGAGCCTTTCTGCTGCCCTGAGCCCCCTGCAGTGCTGATGGCCACACCTTCCTGAGGCTAACCCTTTGTTCCCTGACAAGCCTCGTATATCTGCACCTGGACATTCTGGGCTAGGTGAGCTTAAGTGTCCCAGAAGGGAGCTCCATGCTTAGATTATCTGTCTAGGAAAATGCAGGTGTGGAAGTAGGAGCAAGGAGTGGGAGTCGCAGAGGGGCTGCCGCTGTCCAGGTGGTCACTGCTGGTGGAAAGGCCTTGGATGTGCCCAGCTGCCAGGACCTGTGTTGCCTACAGGTCAGCAACTAAGAGCTCATTTACTTTTAAGTTATCACTTTGAAGTTTTTAGGGGAAGAAACCTGAACCGCAAAAGGCAGTCATTGACCCCAAGCAAACCAATGAAATCTTATAATGTCTGCAGCTTAAATGAGAACATGAGAACGTGCACATCCTCAGTCGTATTTCCCAGGTCACTTGCTGGGCTCCTTGGACCTGCCAAGCAGCTTTCTGAACTTGCCTGGGGCATTTCCAGCCATGGCAAATGGCCGTTGGAGCCAGACACCTGTGAATACTTTTGTCAGGAACAAGGACAGGGCATGGGGTGGAAGAGGCACTAGCTTCACTCCTGTCAGAACCACCAGCACTCCTCTGCCTACTCTTGGGGACTGGCCGTGAGATCTGTCCTTTGTATCAGGGCTTTTCAAATATGTTCCTGTGAACACCATTCCCAAGAGAGATACTCTGACAAAAGGGTTATATGGTGAAGCGAGTTCGAGGATGCCGTGTATTATTCCCCAGCCCCTCTCGGGGGGAGGTAGCACACACTGTGTACAATAGTATTGAAGGCTCCAAGAAGTCCTACTGGGAGGGAACCTGCTTAACTTTACTGAACCACAGCTCTCCTCATCTATTTGATTGCAAGTTCCTATGGCACTCGTATTCTGTAGCCTGCATTTTAGGAACACTGCCACAAATGCCCTTGACTCCTCTTGTCCTTTGTCAGTGGCTTGTAGGCATGTTCTCAGAAAAGGGCATAGATTCCTGGGCCACCATTTCTGCCATGTTCCCATCTTCATTCTACCATGTGGATCTGGGGAATGGAATTCTGGGTGTCTGAACCAGGCCCAGGACAAGCTGTTCAGAGGGCATATGGGACACCAGGTCCTAGTGTGGTCCCTGGTCACTCTCCACTTATTCAGAGCTCTGGGTTAGAGCCCGTGATGGGAGGGAGGAGAACTCCCCCTGTGATCAGTGGGTACTGGTAGCCCGGGGTGGGCTGTGTGTGGGGCTTGTCCTGAGAAAGTGGGCATGCAAGCTAGGTGGGCATCTGTGGGTATGTCTGCCAGCATGTTTAGCTCTCAAGGGGCCTCGCTTGGTACCCAGAGAGACTGAAGGAGGAGGAATGGCTAGGTGTGCTGAGGGATTTTCCATGCAGCGAGCCTCCCCTCTGACCGGGAGGGTTTAATCAAGCATCGTGGGGTGTGGAGGCAGGGGACTGGCTCAGAGATCCTCTCAGCCCCATCCAGTTTTCATATCTGGTAGCTGAGCCCTGCAGGGCAGCATAGGCTATCAGTGCTGTCCCTAGGGTACGGGTCCTATGTGAGTGTTGGGGGTGTGTGGGAAGGAAGGATGGCCAGCTGCTGGAGAATGAGCTGTGACTCAGGGATGCATGGTGATGGGGGAGGAGATGGCGCTGCCAAATGAGAGTGAAAAGTACTCCAGGCTCAGATGCAGCCAGTCATCTCGCCCCCTGCAGCCTCCCATTCTAGTGCCCCGACCAGAGCAACTGGTGGGACAGCTCACATCTTGCACATACCACCTCTGCCTGGACGTGCCTTATGCCCTACCCTCCCCGGAGATGCCCCGAATGCTCTTTTACCAGTGATCTTCACTGACACAAGTATCGTGGTGGGGATGGGGCGGCATCAGGGGATGTTATGATTTGCCATCCTTCTGTACTCCCTTGGGAGGGCTCTAGGTCCTACATCCTACACAGCCAGCCTGGATGTGTGGGGAGACAAGGAGAACAGTCCCTTCCCTTCCCTCCACTTTGCCAGATCTACTGTTCTTCTCTCTTGCCTGGATTCCAGAATCTGCCAGAGCACAGGTTGCTCAATAAGACCAGTGGCAACAGCTCGCTTGTGTTTGTCACAACAATAGTTACAGAATGAAATCCAACACGCAGAATGACTCCACTTGGGAGCCAGTGATTCCCTCTCTCTCTTTTCTAACAATCCCCCCTCCTACCTCCCCCTGAGCTTGTGGCACAACCTTTCCTCGGGAGTCAGGATGCTGGCACTAGAATCATTGTCCTGTTTTTCAAAAGGGCACAGGGAGCCCCCTCACCTGTCTTCAGAAAAATGCAACAGACAAAAGCCTGAATTCATTATGTATTAATTTGTAGTTTGGTTCCTAGAGGCCTTGACTTTGCTGTCCTAGATTCAGACTCATGATGTGTCTCTGTTTCTTATAGATGTAGAAGATTAGGAGAAAATAATGCGGGACAAAGCAAGCCTCTTCTGGCTCCATTAAATATTTTTCTGAATTGGATATTAAAATAGAAAAGATCTTGCATGGAAAGGGTTGTTCCTTTTCCCAGGGCTCTCCTACTCAGTTGAGCAGGGTTTCTAGAGGAGGGGTCTCCAGACGTGAGGCCCAGAGACAGCAAAAGACAGCCACAGCTGGATCCTTGCTGAAGCATCATTATATGGTCCAGTGGTTTGAAGACTGAGAAGAACCGGGGCCTGCAATGGCCTCAGTGTTTCTTCCCACTTCTACTTTCAGCTCTGGCTAATGCCTGGATGTGTCGTTGAATTCATGAAGTACCTGGAGTGTCTACCATATGTCTAACTACATTATTTATTGACTACATTTTTCCTTTTCTTGGAGAAGATGCTTTGTGTTCAGAGCCCAATCAGAAATGCTTATAGTTTCGTGTGCTAAGAACCGTTCACTGTCCTGCCTGCCTGCGTGTTAATATAAATCATGCAGCCTGTAGAGACACAACGCGGGTTGATACAGTCTGTGTATCTGTGTGCACAGCCATCGGGAAGGCTGTGTCCCTCTCTCTTTGGTGAATCTGTTCCTTAACTCCTCTTTTCTCACGCCGTTTGAGTACATGATCCTGGCCACCATCATTGCCAACTGCATCGTCTTGGCCCTGGAGCAGCACCTTCCAGAGGATGACAAGACCCCAATGTCCCGCAGACTGGTATGTGCTACCCTCCTTCTCATCTTTCTTTCCCACTCTCCTTCTTCTTCCCTGGTTCCCTTTTCCTTTGTCCATCACCAGGCCCCCTTCCCTCCTTCCTTACCATATGGCTCTGTGAGGAGTTTGTTCTTTGACGAGGGACAAGTTGGTGACAAACTCCACTGGGATTCGTAAGGACAAGAGGACTGACCTGTATAACTCCTGCTCCCAGGAAGTTCTGAAGGTGTTACAAACACTTGTATGTACCTTGCATGGCAGCCAGACAAAAAGACAGGGCAGGCACAGGGTCCATTCACTTCCCTCCCCTTGCTAAGGGACTTTTGAAGTGAGAGGAAAAAGGAAGGGTAAAGGAGAGAGGATGAAGGATGCTCAAACCCTATGTGCAATCTCGGTTATGAACTTCCTAATGTCATGTCCATGTTCTCCTTAAAGAAATGATTCATGTGTCTAATGTATTCCCCCTAAAGAGAGCAAACAAATTGCTTAAAATCCAAATGTATGGATAAGCAGCTCCAGCCTGATGGCCTGTGGATGAGAACTCTTAAGCTTCCATTGTGAGCAAAGGCCAGCAATGGAAAAGCCAATTCCTTCAAGGCAGAGCCAGCACCATCAGTCACCTTCATGGGTGGAAGTCTGGTCCTGAGCGTGACCCCCTACATCCATCCCCTTCTGCAGCTGGCTCCCCTGGGGCTTCCCTTGCTCTTGTGCACTCCGTGAGTTCTTCAGCACCCTCACTTCCCACCTGTAAACCGGGCTTGCCCAGCACAGACATCCAGGTGTCCTGTGGAAGAGAAGACAGGTCAGAGCAGAGGGTGTGACCAGGGTGTGCCTCTGATGAAGCGCAGTCCTCCCCTTACCAGCACCTCTGCTCCTCATCCTACAGGAGAAGACAGAACCATATTTCATTGGGATCTTTTGCTTTGAAGCTGGCATCAAAATCGTGGCCCTGGGGTTCATCTTCCATAAGGGCTCGTACCTCCGCAATGGCTGGAATGTCATGGACTTCATTGTGGTCCTCAGTGGGTGAGTCCTCCTCCTGTCTCCTTCTTTGTGTGTAGGGGCATGCCTGTGGTGTCATAGGTGGCTGGGTGCAAGGAACCCAGGGCTGGGAAGACAGCAGTCTGTGGAGTGGAGTCAGAGGAAAAAGTTCTCGGATAAGATTCCCGGTGGGGCTGGATGATGGGCGACCCACCTGCAGGGGGGTGTGAGTACTCTGTGGAAATGCACGTGGCATCTGGCAGAGGGCATGGAACTGAGATCTGGCTGCTGCTGCCTCTGGTTTCCCATTCTGGGCCTGGCTAGTGCTGAACAAGCATATCCAAGTGAGTCTTTGCACTAAAGCAGGCAGTTTGCCCTAGCCTGAGGGGCTCCACCAAAAGATGGGCCCAAAGATGCCAGCAGGTGCAGGTTTTTCTTGGAGGTGGGAGAAAACCCCAAGCATATTTTCTGAATTGATAATTGAGATTTGTATTCTGACAACAGAATTCTTTTATGATTTGCAGATTAATATGAGGAGGTATAAAATGGAATTGCATTAAAACATTTGATAAATCATTCCTTTGGAAATTAATATAGTAATACTACATTGTGGCTGATCCAGTGTCATAAACAGCATATGTGATGGCAGTACGCCTATTTAAATATTTGCAGAATCATTCTTTTGGGGATGGACGTAGTATGCCTGTATTGGGGCTGATCCAGCACCGTTGGTGGCATATGTAATGGGCCTTGGGCCTGGTGGTGATGGGCATGCCTCCCTTGGCTTTTATGGCTTCTTGTTGGTCTTGGTGTCAGGTGGCTTTGGGTGCAGCAGGGGAGGGGTGTGGACCAGGCCCCGTGGGGAGCCCATGTCCTGTGTGGGTGTGACGTGGGCATTCCCTTACCCAGCTGCCTCACAGACAGTAGTTTGAAACTGTGAGCAAAAGAAGAGAGAGGAGTAGAAAAGTGAGGAGAGGGGAATGTGAGCCACCATTATGAGTGACTGAAAGGAGAGGGGAGCAAGGAGGACATTTTTTTCTAGGGAATAGCCAGAGGAGTGGGGGTGGGGAAAATCTGACAAGAGTAAGAGCTTGGGGGCATCTGCATCTACTCGTTATCTGTGGAATAGACACAATCCTCAGATGTTTAACCTTCACACCCACTGTGATTCAGTGAAAGAGAAAAGGTCGAAGGTGTAAGGGACCGGAATGTATGAATGGAAGCTCACAAGCAGCCAGCGCTTCAATAGAGGGAACAAATAGACAGAGATGACTATTTATATTTAAAAACGTCTATTGCCTTACAATAGGATTTCCTGAAGGTTATTTTTCTAAAAGAAAATTCTACTACTGAATTTTAAGTATGATTTAGTGTATAAAGATAAAATTTATACATAGTATTTCAGAAGTATGTGGTCATAGACATTGCAGCACAGCTGGGCGATGTTTTGTGTATTGTTCTTATTTTTTCCAGATTTACTGAGGTATGATTGACAAATACAAGTGCTATATATTTAAGGTGTACAATGTGATGTTTTTATATACGTATGCATTGTGAAATGATTACTACAATCAAACTAATTAACATATTCATCCCCTCAAATAGTTACCTTTTTTTATGGTGAGAACCCTTGAGATCTACTCCTAGCAAATTTTAAGTATGCAATACAGTATTATTAACTGTAGTCACCATGCTGTACATTAACTCTCCAGAACTTGTTAATTTGTAACTGAAAGTTTGTACTCTTTGATCAATATTTCCCCTTTTCTTCCACCCACTAGCGCTTGGTAACCGCCATTTCTTTCTCTGTTACTATGAGTTCGACTTTTTTTTAGATTCCACTTATAAGTGAGATTATGAGGTATTTGTCTTTCTCTATCTGACTTATTTTACTTAGCATAGTGTCTTCCAACTTCATCCATGTTGTTGCAAATGGTAGGATTTCCTTCTTTCTCGTGACCGAATAGTATTCCATTGTACACATATATACTACATTTTCTTTATCCATTCATTCGTCAATGAATGAATTTAGGTTGTTCCCATATCTAGCTATTGTGAATAACGCTGCAATGAACACGGTGTAGATATCTCTTTCAGATGGTGATTTTATATCCTTTGGATGTATACCCACAAATGGGATTGCTGAATCATATGGTAGTTCTGTTTTTAAGTTTTTGAAGAATCTCCATACTATTTTCCATAGTGACTCTACAAATTTACATTCCCACCAACAGTGCACGAGGGTTCCCTTTTCTCCACATCCTCACCAGCACTGGTTGTCTTTTGACTTTTTGATAATAGATAGATGATGTTTTAAACGTCCTTAAAATAAATAATATATACTATAAAATAAAAGGCCTAAATGAGACTCTGAGTCATTTAGAAATGTTGTGATTCTGTCTAAAACAAAAATGCTGTAATGTATATGCATTTTATGTTAAGATTGTGTGACCCTGCTGAGTTCTGTATGTGTCAGAGCCCATTTGAAGTTTCTTGACTAGTCCATTTATTTTTATTTTAAATTATTATATGTTCATTAAAGAAAATATGGAAAATACAGAAAAGTCAAAAGAAGAGGAAAACAGTTCACTGAGTAAGAAAAATTCCTAATTATTTTGTGGCATTTCCTTCCAGCCCTTCTAATGCTGAGCAAGCTCTCTTTTCAGTGTTCATAGTTTTGCTGGCTTTTCTCAATATAATATGGGCACAGCACATAATACTCCATATTTTGGTAAAAATCTGTAATGAACGATCAGCATTTTGTTAAATAGATGGACATAGCTTCTCCACTTTTGCAATTATTTGACACTTAGATTGTTTTCTGCTTTGGGCTATTATAAATAATTATTAAAGATGCTCCAGTGTAGAGCTTCTGAAAGAGAACCCACCATTCTGATGCGGGGTCTGGGAAGTAGGATGTGCAAGGGAGGCGGGAGGAACTGGACCATTTGACAGGATGAGAAGACTAACAGGAGCTGTAAGCACTGCCTTCAGATAAGGGATGCCATGTGGTTGAAGGAGCCGATGTGTAGGAGTCAGCAAGGTCCTTCTGTTAGCGTGGCCAAGACAGCCCTCCGTATCCTCACCTGCATATGGGGCTGCACAGGAGTGGGCACAGGTGCTGAGCCCTTGGCCAACTCACTTGTCCTCTCTGTTCTCTCTCCACCTGGCCCTTGCATCTCCCATTCTTGGTGGCTCTTCAAACTTTGCTGAAGGGCCACTGCTGTCCATCTGAACCGATAGGACTTTGCCCCTGTTCTTCATGTACCTAATGGTTTCTTTCTCTCTCCTTAATTCACACGCACATGTGCTCCAGGGAAAGACCTTGGCGCTCTTGAGATCCATGCTGAGGTTGTGGTTCTGTCCCACAGGAATGGCTAATCAGATTGTCTTACATTCACAGGGTGTTTTTAACTACCACATTGCATCGCTTCTAAGATGCACATTTCTCGTGCTGGAACATCTCTAAAATCAGCCTGTGTCTTACAAAAATGGCGTGATATAGTTTAAATGACAGCATTTTTCTTTCTTTCTTAGTGGTACATAAAATTGTGGGGCATCTTACAACTGTTGGGGTCTCAGATGCAGTGAAACGTGTGGTAATACCAACCCACGGAGGCAGGCAGATCAGGCTTGAGATAGGAGTCACCTAGTGCTCAGAGGGGTTAAGTGCTCAGCCCAAGACCAGCAGATACAGGAGGTGTAACTGTGCACTTTGACCCAGGCCTGGTGCCTTTACCCTTGCCCCGTGCAGCCCCCTCTTCAGGCTTCCTGATACCCGCCCAGGCAGCAGTCCCTCCTGGCAGCTCTTACTTCCCACCTTAGCTCCAGGTGTCACCTCGCATTCTCTTCCTGTGTACAGGAGGAATGACAGATGCTAGAACACGACACAGCACCTCAGGCTGAAGCTGCACAACTTTTCAGCTCTCAGTGTGCGATGGGAGGGGAGGAAGGGGGTGGGGGCTGAGGTTGAGGTGTCAGGTAGCTGGCTCAGTGGAAGACTTTCTGTCACTGACCTTTGCTAAGAGATGGGTTGTTGGGGCCCTGGGCTGCCACATTCTGCCTGACCCTCTAATCTTTAATATTCTTAGGTCTGTAAGTTGAGGGAGTTCATGGTTTAGAAAGTCAGTTTATATACATTATTCATCTCATCCTCATAATCTCCCAAATGGGATCTTGTTATCCTCATTTTATAGATGAAGAAACCGAGGTTCAGAGAGGGCATGTGACTTACTAGGAGGTACTAGATCTGGGACTTGAACCCACATCTGGCTCTAAGTTCCTTCCTCAACACTTATTGTCCCACACCATCAGTCCCCTCACAACCTCATGGGCTCCATGGTTCTATAGCTCTGATTGCACGTTCCTTCGGTCCCCTTGAAGTAATGTGGGATGGGCTCAGGGAGGGGGCATAATCAGGCAAGTGTCCCCAAGCTAGAGCTGAGGCTTCACCTGTGACCTGAAGAGGACGAGAGCCCCACCTGTCCATCCGAAGACTTCTCTCTGTGGGCTTAGACTAGAACTCCCTGCTCTGTGGTTAAGAAGGCACATTACTTAACTCTCATTGCTTAATGCATAAAAACTGAATCAGAAGTTCCAGCCTATTACTTCATTAATTGGCTTGTTCATTAATTAATTAATTCATTCCTCCATTTATTTATTCCACAAAACCTGTATTGTTGAATACTCAGCAAATGCTAGGACTGAGAAACACCAAAAGTTAATGTATTCTCATTTCTTCTAAAAGACAGTGAAATTTCCATTCCTTTAACAAACTGTTACCTGACATAACTTGGGATCTCTCTTATACTGGTAACAATTCAGGAGATGTCATTTCTAAACACTTGTTAGGTCACTTGGAGAATTCTAAATTATTTGAAGTCATTATTATGTATTAGTCTTAATAATAAGTCATAGTACCTGGAGTAGATGGACAAGTGATAGAAGAAGGTGAGAACTCAAAGGCACTCCCAAACCATAGGTAAGGACAGGGAAGTGAGGCCGGGGACTGTGTCTTTGAACCCTGTTCATCTCTGTAGCACCAG